ACCTGACCGGAAAAAACCGTAACAGGAAGCTAGCGAAGTCGTAGCATATATCGTCACAAACAGAACTGCCCGGTAACCGTACATTTATAATATTATATATATAGAGAGAGAGGCACACCAAGAAGTCTCACCCCTACTGAACCCTCCCTTCCTCTTCCCACCCCCCTCCCCATTCTCTCTCCCACAGGTGAAGCCTCATTAGCCGGCACCCAAAGTTTTGACCAGGCAGTACACCTAGCGTCATGTACACATCGCTGCCCTTACCCGCTGCATGCAGATCTCCAACACCCCACAGTATCATCACAGACTGACTTGAGGGTTGCCCAGCTTTGCCGAGAGGGTCACCCTTGACATAATATCACCTGTGCTAGTATATCACCGACTACATTTGGGCTAACTCCTCCTCCATGACATTCATAGGCTTCCCTGCCTAGGGAAATGGATTGTTTCTGGCCATGCAGATTCTGAATTTATATGCACTCTATTCACAGAAGTGCAGCAGTCTAGCACGTTCATAATTGAGTACTACCTTCTGTCGCATGCCAAATGGCGCAGACCAGAACCAAGAACCGACCTCTCAAAAATGGAGCAATGACAGCACAGCGGAACACTGAAATACCAACAATCAGACCCAATCAATGTCATGACACAGACTGAACATCACCATCATCATCACCACACAGTGTGAGAGGCCTGGCGCATAAGACAGAGACGAAGCGCCAGGCACATGACCATAGACGGATGAGGAGGGAGGAGAGACAAAGGTGGGGGAGATATGGAGACCGTCGCCAACTCAAAATGTCGTCGATACTGATCCAAAAATAGTCCCACACAATGTCTCTGTCCCAATGTCAAGTCTGAATCTCCAACTGTCGCCAAATCCCAATGTCGCAAATCTCTCTCTCTCTCTCTCTCTCTCTCTCTCTCTCTCTCTCTCTCTCTCTCTCTCTCTCTCTCTCTCTCTCTTCCTTTGAGCACCAGGTACTAACCTGCAAAAGGTGTTGCCTTCATGCAGGTGCGGACGCGCGGAAGATGAAGCTGGAGCGCTGGGCCGACAGGTGAGTCCTCAGGTAAGTCCCCTGGCCTCTGCCATAACACAGTCTCTCTCTCTCTCTCTCTCTCTCTACCGCAGCTGCACTGTGCTAGCGCTGAAGTTCTACTTCCCTGCCGCTATCGTCGACTACAGCTACTACTACGAAGTGTACCGCTACAATACCCGTCGAATGCCTGAAGAATGCCTACCGAAACTGAGGCCGACCAGCTATAAATAACGCTGGTCCCGCCTCAGTCAGTCATCTGAGAGGAGACCTGGTGCCTAAACTGGCGTCCAAACTGAGGCTGGGCGTCAACGGCCAGCGCCCAAAGAAACGGCACCGCCTCACAGGTCTTGGCGCCAAAACACGCGCCAGGGCCTGTCGCCTATATAGGCCTAACCCGGCCTACAGACCTATGGGCCCTGAAACGGGCCGAAACGACACCTGGCCCTACCTGGGCGTAAAATCCCCCCTAACAGACCCCTAGTCCTACCTGGTCAAGCCCGGTAGGGCCCATGTGGAACTCAGAATGCCACACTATCTCTGCGGTGCAAGACACTGTTTTTTAATTAGGTGATCATATTTTAGTTATCTAAAATTTCCCCTAAATTCAAAACTGGTGATTTCCTTCTATACTTCTAAACACCCTATCTATCCTATCTGCATTCTGATTACTGCTGCCTTTCATCTATGTTTCATGTAGAGTTTGTGAACACAGATTCCTCATCATTCGATCTTTCATTCGTCCTCTTCGTTCTTCCTCTTAGTCCTTATGACTTCTTAGTCTAACTAGCCCAATTACACCACCAGTACTTCGCCCATACATCAGGAATTTGAACAGGAGTTGTAACTCATTTTTGGCCGCGACTTTCGGAAGTAATGGTGGTTTAATGTCGTCTCCTCCCTCCCCTGCTGTCTCCCAATGCACTGCTAATGCCATCCTCCTGCTCCCTATCTGCTTTTTCCCTCATCTTCGCAATCTCCAACTAGGGTTGCTTTCTCTAGCATATTCCCTCTGTTAGGTTTGGGTGATGGAAGTATTTGCATCTCTCTCTCTCTCTCTCTCTGTGATGCAGCACTCTTGGTTTATCAACTTTTATGCTTCCCTTTTCAGACAAGGATAGTAGCCAGCACAATTTGAAACTCGAACTTCTAAACCCTTCATTGTTTGCAGTTACGTGTGTGTAACATCCAGCCACCACACAGGTCCTCATTCGGGGATTATGTTTCCATTTTGCTTTCCTAAAACAAACTCTCAGCTCTTTCTGGCTGGAGGTACTTACTGATCCCATGTCGCTGAATGACAGTGCATGGTGAAACCCACGAGGAAACAACCTCTCCAAATCCTTTTTGCTCAGGTTGGACATAGCTGCAATAAATGCCGCCTGCACAAGACACAACCCAAACTTTCAACTCAGTAATGAAAGTCAAGTAATCTAAATATTTTTTTTCAGTGTTTTCACAGCAAAACATACACCATAGGACCATAAGTTTTCATGAGTGAACGACATCCATAACACATCAGCGGCAAAATATTCAACCACTGTCTGTGACCTGTATCGGGGTGTCCCTATAGTAGCGCCCCGGCGGAAGTGTCTATGACCCCTCGGAAGGTGAGGGTTGGTCTAGGTCCAGGTCTAGATAGAGAGGTCTGGGTTGCACCGCTGTAGGGATTGACTTGCGATAACAGGTCACGAATGACACCCCCTGGAGGAAGACTGTCCTTGGGGATGTCACAAGCCATCCAATCCCCTCACTGGTTGAGTACGACGACAGACGCCTCCCAAGGCCTAGCATCCACCTTCTACCACGACATGGACCCTTTTTTTTTTTTTTCAAAAGACATTCAGATGAATGTCCCAGTTTTAAGAGTAGATGAATGGAAACACCCAACGACACATGACAGTGATGGACACACTAGAGGTTACTGTGGCTCCGTGAAAGTGACACACATGGACAACAGATAAGGTTCCTAAGGCGATCGGGATCAGACTTCTTTCGGCTTAGAAAATAATACTAGATGGTCAATGCGCTTGTGTGTTGTCAAGAAACCCCAAACTCTCTTCTCGTTCAATCGATCTACAAGCCATCACGAATCATCCAGTGCACGTGTGTGTGCGTGTGTGATATGCACTGGCCACAAGGTGTTGCCAATGCAGGAGGAAGAAATAAAGAAGCAAGATCTGACTCCCACTCTATGTCACCTCGCTAGTCCAATGATGAGTCCAGGGTTGCATACCAGCCGACACCAACGGGCTGCTAGAGGACCTTTTTATCTAAATCTGAGTTTGGGCCTGTACTGCGCTTGCTGAGTACCACCCAACGCCAAGAAACTTGTGTGCTGCAAGAAGGGGTTGGGGGAGGGGGGTGAGGGAGGGGGGGTGTTGTATGGAGTGGAGGGGGCTATGTGAGTGGGCGGGGTATGATTATCCTAACCAACGGCAGGCACCCAAAGGTCACATCCTACTTGCAGTATTGAGAGCTTACTTCAAATGAATATGGGTCCGCAACTGAACAACGTTCAAGCTTATTCCGCCGAATGAATGGGGGTGGGGGGGACAGGCAGGGTGGAGGCGCTGGTCCTCAACTCCGAACTGGGAGCCTACGTAGCACGAGTATGGTCTGCAGTGGTGCAGGTTCATGCTCACACCATGGGGCATGGAGAAGAGCGCCCCCCCCCCCCCCCCGCCCCCCTGCTAGACCACCGTTGCACCCAAACCAGAATTGTGAAAACTCTACTGCCCGGAACTGTGACATCCAAACCACCACAGCATAAGGCCTACTCATGGCCATAACCTTACTGGGTCCCAGTAGGTCGAACTGACACGCTGCATCGGCAGCAGTGCTCCGGTGCAAGGGTGCTTTAAAGCACCGGTCCACAAGTACAGTGCACCGGTTAACCGACTAGCTGTCCCGTGAATGTATGGCCTGCCTTTGCCCAGTTAAATTCATTCATGATTAAAAAAAAACTGAAGAAGGTTCGCTTAGCTGGGAAACAAGCTGGTGGTTTAATAACCACTATTCCTTTTGCAACAGGACAGCCAGGTATCAATTTGATATCAATTCCCAGTTCTTTTCAGCGGCCTACATTAAAAAGGAGAGAGACTGGGGCAGCAGGGGGTGGGAGGAATTGGGTTGGAGGTGTTGTCACGAGAGCACGCGACTTCTCTCGAGAGTCTCCACACAAATAAATCAAGCCCTTCGACACGAGCGCAAATCACATTGTGGCTGAATGCGATGGTTTGGGGAAGCAAAGAGGTTGAAGCTCCAATGTGAAAACTTTGACAGGAGTGCAAATCACATTGCGGCCGAATGCGCTGGTATCCAACCTACCCTTTCCCAATACCTCTCTGAGTTGCTAGCAAGAACAGAAGAAATGACTGGGCTGCTACCAGTGGTTAGGCCTTCAACCACTTTCGTGCTGCACAAAACAGGAAAAGAAAAGAAGTGGGCTGCTTGTTGGGCCTCCAGCTGCTTTAGGGTTGGGGTAGCAGTGCAAGGTTTGTATTCCATTTTGAGGGTGGAGGGACAGAAAGGACAAAACTAGCCCAGTCAGAATGCAAGTGGGCCTGAGCACATCCAGGCGCAGATCATGCACTTGTACATCTGCATATCCATTTTGCACTTTGCAAACCTATGCGGGCAGTTATGTACTTACAACTTCCAGTAAGTTTGAACCCTCTTTTTGCAGTGGCAGATTCCCACTGCATACCAAGCTTTGCCAAACTACCAGGGGCAGTTATGTACTTACAACTTCCAGTATGTTTGAACCCTCTTTTTGCAGTTACAGATTCCCACTGCATACCAAGCTTTGCCAAACCACCAGTGGTGCACGACTTTATCTGTTTTGGCTGGCGCTGCCAGCCATTGGGGTCCGGTAGCTCAGAGCCCCCAAATTTTCAGATTGGCTTGATTTCGATTTCTCAAGTTTGCCCGGGCGATGCACTGCTGGTCAAAATCACCAGTACATTTGAGGCTCTCTTTTCCAATGCTGATTTCTGCCACACGACAAGTGTGCTGAATCGGTGTGGGCACAGGGTCACATTGTTTTGCCTGGAGCAGCTAGGCTTTTCCATTTGGTAGGTCGAGCCCCAAAGGACACAGAGTGTTAACCGCCGCCTCCGAAAAAAAATGGGTGGGGAATGAACTGCTGCTTTACATGACCACTATTCCCCAGCCTCTTTTTCTCGACGTTCAATTCTGCCCATGCCTGAAATTCTGAACCATCAAGGCCAACCACCTAACGGGTGCCAGCAGCTCTTTCTCGGGCCTGTAAGCCGAGCCTTTCCGGCGGCCACACAATAACTGGGAGACCTGGCTGCGAATGATGGTGGTTTACAGTCGTTTTCTTTTTGGATTCTTCACCTGAGGGGGGTTGGACGTGGCCATTCCTCCTGTTTTCTTACGTCATAAAACTCGTCACAGACACAGGCCAACTTCCCTTAAACGGTTACACCCCTCTCCCCGCTTGACAGACAGGGGCCAACTTCCATTGCACCCCTCTCCCCACTTAACAGACGGGCCAACTTCCCTTGCACCCCTCTCCCCCCTTAAACCACCAGTACTTCCTAAAGTCGTGCCCGTTAACAAGCCGCAATTTTAGGAAATGTACAGGCCACTACAGGAGCGCCCAAATTCATCCAAACGGCCGATAGCTGGGCCGAGTACTGGTGGTTAACAGACAGGGCCAACTTCCCTTGCACACCTCTCCCCCCCGCCACTCCTTGCTCTGGCTTAAAAGGAGAGTCTAACATCATAAGCCTAACAAACTGAATGGTCTTGGTTTCCGGATACAAGGTCCTTTCAATTAACCACAGGGGATTGGGTAATTTTCCCCTACGTTCTCTGCCAAGAGTCGAGAGGCTACAGCTTTTCTGGTGGCAATGCCCCCCCACTTACCCGGATTCTTCATTTCTGACTGTCGATGAACTAGCCCGAACTGAACGGACAGCTTGGCATCCCTTGATCTAACGAACTACCTGGATTCCCCGTTTGTTTCCCTCGTTTTGAATATCGACTATGGCGATCAACTATCAGAAATGAATTATTCGGGTATGTGGAACCTCACCCTGGGCCCATTTGCCTGTGCCCTCTTCTGTCTTACCATGGAGTACAAAACGGCCGACCGGGCTAACCAGGCGCAGAGTGCTAATGGGACAGGCATAAAGCTAATGCGAAGTTAGAAATACTCATTGTAATCTTATTGTAAATTTGTAATCTTATTGTAAATTTGTAATCTTATTATAAGGGACTCTGGGCCCGGCTCCCACTACGTGCTGCTCCCCACAAACAGCTCGGAGCCGTATTATAAGGGACGTTGGGCGCCGGAGTTTAATATCTGAGAAACAAAAAGCAAAACAGTTGCAAACCTGAAAGAAACCTGATTTCAACCTTATCCGAACCTAATGAACCTGATTGGAACTTTTTTTTTTTTTTTTCCACCGAAACTTTGGAAAATGAATCTGAGACGCAGTATCCGCTTACAATCCAAAGAAGTGAGAGAAGATTGGACTCTGTCAGAGAAATCCTTTGTGAGAGATTCCTGCCAGCATTGATTACCCTGACCTCCAGGGGATAGACTGGGCAGGAAGCAGGGAGGGGGAACCTCTTCACCTTGAAACCGGCGCCAGATGCCTGTTGCTACTCACTGGTTCCTCCCTCCCCCCATGAGCCCCAGTACCTGATTGGAACCTTATCCATTCCCCAGTAATAGTTGCACTTTGCTGAATTTGAGGGTGACATCGAGATTTCTGTCCAGGAAGTCTCTAGTCTAATCGGAAACTTGTCCACCCCCCAGCACTAGTTGCACTACCGTCTTCACCCGAATAGAACACCCAATCATTATAGCTGCATTTGGTACCACTTTCAGTCCACATATGTCAATAGTTACAGGGCGTTCTATTCAGGTGAAGACGGTAGGACTTGCTGAATTTGAGGGCGACAGAGAGTAGGACTTGCTGAATTTGAGGGCGACAAAATTTCTGTCCAGGAAGTCTCTAGTCTGATTGGAACCTTATCCACCCCCCAATACTAGTTGCACTACTGTCTTCACCCGAATAGAACACCCAGTCATTATAGCTCTATTTGGTGCAACTTTCAGTCCAGATACATCAATAATTACAGGGTGTTCTATTCGGCTGAAGACGGTAGGACTTGCTGAATTTGAGGGCAGCATCTTGATTTCTAGCCAGGAAGTCTCTAGTCTGATGGGAACCATATCCACCCCCCAGTGTTAGTAGAACACCCAGGCATTATAGCTGTATTTGGTGCAATTCCAGTCCAGATAAGTCAATAATTACAGGGCGTTCTATTCGGGTGAAGACAGTAGGCCTTGCTGAGTTTGAGGGCAACAGCAAGATTTCCGCCCACAAAATTCTAGTCTAGA